CCCAAACACCCAGAGCCAAAGAGTGTTAGGCATCACTGAAGTCTTTCTGTCTGTGTGACCTGAAGACTTATTACACTTGAGGACTGTGTATCCTTCAGCCGGTTAGGCGTCGCGTTCTGAGCATCCAAGAGTCATTGTGGATTGCCGGCGAACAAAGTCTGTGAAGGTTCGGAAGTCTACCTTGAAGACTTACCAGAGTGATTGGGCGAGGACTGTGTGTCCTTAGCTCAAGGGGAATAAGGTGAAGACGCGGTCTTCTGAGTTGACTCTCAGCCTCCCTAACCAGATGTACAATTGTCACAGCAACTGGAACTGGTCCAACAAATCCTGTGTCTTCATCAAGTGACTGGTTCTATCCCTTCCCTCCTTTACTTTGAGTTTGTCTTCGTGAAGTGATTGCTTATTTGTCTTATCTGTTTGACTTCATTGCTTGACTACTATCGTTGATTGGCTTCATACTATCTTCCATCCTGATCCTTACTACCTAGCTGCTATTAGTCTTTGTACGTTCACATTTACATACTTGACTATGGCTTGCTTGTTGTAGTTTATCTTCCGCTGCATATCAATTAGGTCATTTCTATTGTTTGTCTTCGAAACTTCCACGTTTTGAAGACTTTGATTAAAATCGCCTATTCACCCCCCCTCTAGTCGATAACTAGCACTTTCAATTTTACCTTAGCTAGAGGTCCGTCGCCCCCCTGAATTTCATTTTTTGGCCAGTTGATTCCCAATTAACGGAAGCATTCCCCAGCGTAATAGGTTCTAGTACGCCCATTACGCCGGGGAAGCAGCGCCTTGGTGTTTATATTAGGGGCGTGTGCGGCCTAGATCTACTAGCGCCCGATCTAGAGACTGGAGGTAGGCCGGGATTAAAGGGATGGCCTGGGGGCGCTGCCAAGCACAGCGGTGGTGTGAGGTCGAGGGGAGGGCGGGGCGGCGGAGGTAGGGGTTTGGGCCGGTGGTCGCTGGCGGTTCGAGAAAGATCGTCAACAGTGACTTGCGGGAGGAAGACGAAGGCCATCTGCTTGTTCCTTATAAATCGGACGGTTCATTAAAAAAATCGACATACCTATTTATTTTCAGTCGACTGTTATCTTAGATATGACCACATGTGGTGGTGTGCTGGAGGAGTACCTGCATTTCTTGTGCTCATATATTACAAAATCATACGGAGTAGAATATAATTTTGTTTGCCATGCAATGTTGTAGAGCTATCATATGTCTCCTGTCATTTATATTTCAGCCACCTGCTATCTGCTACTTTTACAGTGCACTAGTTCTGCACACACTTCACCCATACTCTCACTATTGTGTTTTTATGCAAGGGTATTTTAGAGTCTGCCTCGAGGGAAGCAGAAAAGAAAAGAGAGAAATTGCTCCAGCTTGCTACGCGGGTAGGCACCGCACATTACAGCGCTATAAAGGGTGCAGTGTCAACAGATGGAGACGGTAAACGTAGCTCTAGAGTTGATGACCTCGCTCGGAATGAACCACCATCCTAGGTGCTTGCTTTAACTTCGCGGTGTCATATGTGGTTGCATGTTCCATATGGTGTCTAGCTTGTATTCGAAAGGCCGAAGTCGGTCTTTATTAAGATAAGGAAATATATTTTTTACATGAACCACCATCCCGTGAGAACCAGAAGACAAATAGCTAGTCAGGGCACTGGCCGAGCCAGTGACAAGCCCAGCAAAGACGGGCATCATCTGGAAGCCAACTAAAAAGCCGCGATGGTGGCGAAGCTGCCCGCCTCCCACCAGGCTCTCAGGTCCTAGATGATCATGCTCACCACTCTAGCCGGATGTCTAGCTTGTATTGCTTCCAATTTGGTTAAATTGCATCTTCTTAGCTTATACATTATACCTTTGAATATGACATGCCTTTTTGTTTTTGATACATACTAGTACATCTGTGTATTAACCATGTTCTTACATCAAACTAATATTCTTGTGTATCCCTCATCAGTCACTTATGATGAGCCAGTCAGGCAAGTGGACTACTCCTCATTTAAAGATAGTGAATGTAGCTCTGTAGTTGATTGCCGCATTTCCCCTACACTAGCATTGCAGGTGCTTGCTCTAACTTGGCAGCGTGATATGTGGATGTACATGCATGACAAAAAACGCGACCTACTGTGACAAACACGTATCATCACGGAAGTGTATTTTTTTAGTGCTTGCAGCGCCCTCCTCTCCGCCTAGAAGTTGTTCTTGGCGGCTACATCCTCTGCGAAGCGCTGACGCCACTCCGCCATGGCGCACTCGTGTGCCTCGGCGATGAGGAGGCGGTGCTCCCTCCTATGCTGGATGCGGCGGTCCTCGTCGGTGATGAGCCGCGGCGAAGGAGCGAGGTCCTGCGCCTGCTGGCGCATCTGGGCATCCGAGAAATTCATCTGCGAAAGTGGCCGGTTGAGGCGCCACGCCGGCGGGTCGTACACGCGGGCGACCTCGTGGGCGGTCTCGAACATCTCAAGACCGAGACGGATATTACAGGAGCGGATCTCCACATAATACACGCCGGTGGGCGGGCGCGAACACCGCAGTAGCCGAAGCTGCTCCGAACGGGCGGCGGCAGGGGAGAAGGCGCGACGGCGTGGGGAGAAGGGCGCGGCGACGACGGCGGTACGCTGGAGGCAGGGGAGAAGGCGCGTCGTCGAGGAAAGAAGGGCGCGGCGATGCCGACAGGGAAGAAGGGGCGATGGAGTGGCGGTTGGTGGGCTCGCGCGTGCTTTTTTTATAGAGCGAGCCCGACGCCGCGCGTCAAAACTGCCGCGCGCCATGTCATTTTTTCGCGCGCCGGATTCTCCCGCGCCTGCTGGAGCGCGCCAAACCGGCCTGCGCGCTAAAAATTGTTTTTTCCCGCACGCGATATCTAGCGCGGCTATTGGAGATGCTCTTAGAGATTTCCATATGAACTACAAACTGATATATACAGATGTATTTTAGAGTGTAGATTCACTCATTTTGCTATCAACCATGAATATATGGCAAGTTCACATACGTATATATGGTAAGTTGCCAAAGTCCCATCTAGGGTTTCCTTGCCTCTCGCCGGCGCCGCCGGTTCGCGTCATCTCCTATAGTCCTTGGACCATGGAGGTACGATGGATCCCAGCCCTTGCCGGCGGAAGGGCTCCGTTTTTAAATTATTTTCTGAGTTTTGTTAGGATTTATGCCATGGTCAAGAAGACGAGGCGGTGGCGGCTTCTTGAAGATGTAATAAGGTCCTCCCTGTCTAGCCCCTGTCTCGGTGATGTTTCAAGCATCGTTGGAAGGCGTGTGGAGGTTTGTCTCCGACGGATCTCGTGGGATCCGGTCGGCATTTATCTTCGGTGGATCCGACTGGATCCGGTTTTTGTTCATCTACGTTTGTGTGTCTGCAGGTTGGATCCTTCCGGTCTATGCTTCTCTTCATCGGCGGCGGTTGCTGTTCTGGTGCGCTGGTCCTATGGGGTCTTAGCACGACGACTCCCCGACTGTCTACTACAACAATGTTTGTCCGGCTCCGACGAGGAAGGGGCGATGGCGGCGGTGCGCCTTCGGCTCGCTCCAGTGCTTGTAGTCGTCGCTAGGTGGTCTACGGACATGGATGTAAATTTTACTTCTAGTGTCCTTTGTACTTCTAGTGCTTTGCTACGTGTACGTCTGGCACTGATGTGGCACTGTATTTGTCCTTTTTTTAGATAATTAATGGGCAGCTAGCATTCTCCACTCATTTCTCTTTGAGATTTGTTCAGTACAAAGTATAGTCATGGTAACACAAGGAGATACATTAAACAAGCGGGATCCAGCATCAGTTTCAGCAGACTTGGCTAGAACATTAGCAAAAATCAGACTCCACAACTATATTTTGGAACCAAGGTTCTTCAGCAAAAATCAAAGCATGGCACACTGCAATAGCTTTACCCAGCTCTGGGTTATCAACATGATCAACAAACCATATGCTTGCAACTAGCACTAGACCCAGGTGATTGTGGATGACAACACCAATGCCCATGGGTTTTGTCTGTGCAAACTTCGCAGCATCAACTTTATGAAATTGCCCGGCTCAGCCGGCAGCGGAGACCACTTGGGGATTGACGCCTGGTGCTCACGCCTAATGGAGACGTCGACCTGAAGTTCTAAAATAAGACGAAATCAACATAAGCTTTGAACTTGCCCGCCACACATGTTCTTCCAAATGTGCCAAAATGAAAATCTGAAGCACTATAAATCCAGTCCAGTGGCCTTTGTTGCATATGGGCAAAGGTTTTTCAGTTTTACAGATAAATCAGATATCTTTTTAGCTCTTCCCAGATTTCTTGAACATAATGGCACCGAAGGAAACAATGTTCCACTGTCTCAATCTTTTTACAATACATGCAGTCATACCTCACGTTTGTGGAAGTGATCACGCGTAGGAAAGCAGTTTGTGATCACCCATAGTGTTGATCCTTGCTGATCTGATGGCCGGGAGAGCGACACGTAGCATGGAGTCTTTTTTTTCCGACTAAAAGACTGAATATTTTTGGAAACAAAAAAATGTTTAGGTGGCAAAGAGCCTGGTACAATTTTTAGCTGAAAGGCTGTGAAGGTTTGTAGAAACGAAAAAGTGCCTTTTTCCAATAAAAGAACTTAGGAAGAAATAGTTTCAAACTCAAAACTGCAAGTCCTACCAAGCAAGAACAAGAAGCATGTCAAAAAAAATAGCAAGCAAAAAAGTAGCAGAAACACTAGCAGGTCCAGTAACTAAGAAAGCAACACAAGGACAAACCATTTCATCCGAATTTAAGGATCGATTGCATTCATCGGTTCTGAGACAAGCAACAAACACTCACACTCATTTAACTAATGATGACATGGCACTAACATTCTGTTCTGCCAGGGGCAACTAAGATAGATGTCGCAGAGGTGATCGATTAAAACCACCAGCCGCTCAACTGACAGACTCACGCTCAAAGCCTAACTAAATTTATTTATTTCTGCCTAAGGCGATGCGCCGATGGGCAATGAATGGCCCTAGTTGGGGGCGAAGAAGATCTCCGAGTCGAGCCTCTTGGACCGGAAGAGCTTCTCCATCTCCGGCGTCGTGTTGAACGACGCCTCCAGGACCTCCGGCGAGATCGCCTTCCACACCGACGTCTTCCCCGCCAGGTGGCTGAAGATCGGGCTGCAACAACATACACAAAATGTATTAGTAGATCATCACCATGGATTTGTTTTTGGAGAAGCACAACACAATGACAGGTAGAATTTGTTTCAATAATGAATTCCTTACTTGGGGGTGGTGATGATGGAGAACCACTCCATGCCGGAGGCATCGGCGATCTTGGATACGACGTGGAAGCGGGGCACGATGAAGAGGCTGCCGCCCTCAATGCGGGTCTCCAGGACGCGCTTGCCGTCGGGGCCGACGACCTGCACGCGCCCGCTGCCACGGACGATGTACGTGACCTGGTACGCCGAGTCGCACGAGAATCCAGGGGAGCACATGGAGTGGGCGTCGATCCTGACCAGGTCGGCCCCGAGCCCGACCTCCTTCACCAGCGGCAGGTTGGCCGTGTTGAGCACCACCACGCGGCCGCCCTTGGGGATGTCCACATCGAGCTTGGCCTCCAGGCAGTTGAGCGCCATGTCCTTGCGGTCCTCTGCGACCGGCTCGGGGAGCTTCTGCCCGGCCGAGAGCTTGACGATGCCGGAGGCTGGCTGGCTGGAGACGAGCTTGGCGGCGTCGTCCTGCTTGAGGTCCCAGGCGCGGCCGACGAACTCTGTGGAGAAGCCGGTGAAGATGCCGCTAGCGCCCGTGAGCTGGAAGTTGGTGAACTGGCCGGGCCTGTGGCCCTTGGAGGTGTCACCGAGGAAGAGGACGACGAGCTCCGTGGCGGACCCCGGGGTGTTGTGCCACCAAGTGACCACGCCGAACGGGAGCGCCAGAGCGTCGCCCTCCTTGACGCCGACCACCTTCTCCTTGGTGCCCTCCGGCAGGACGATGCCGCAGGTTCCCTTGCCTGTCATGCATAGATCAAAATGAGCAGTATTAGTACTACGAAATTCGTGGAAAAGCAAGCCTAAACAGTGGATTAATCTTGCAACGAAATTCTGAAAATAGCGTGCGTGTTAAGGTTAGAGGGAAACCGACATGCATGACCAAGTTGTGACATTACAGAAAGATTGGATTAAAACAACAGGGCGAAACCAAATAGATGAAATATTCAGGACCTCTTAAGCAAAGAGACTTATTCAAAACGATGAGAATAGTTCTTCTGTTATTATTGGTTCGAAATAAGTGGGATCTGATGGAGACACTTAACCTGATGAAACTGAACCCCCCAAAAAAAAATAGCACAATTTCGGAATTGATCACAACGTGTGCATTCGACAGATAATTCAGGAGAAAGATGTCTCCGCTCAATCCCAATCTAGGTTAGCGTTCGATCTAAACTGATTCGATAAAAGCATCTACCAACGAAAATTAACCTGACGAAACTAAATAATTCAGCGAAGAACAACAATACTACTACTGTATTTGTTTTTGTTAACCTGACGAAACTAAACAAAACTAGCACGATTTCAGAAGTGATCACAAGGAAACAACGTGTATTCGACAGAGAGACAAATCAGGAGAGCCGCGATCCGAAATCAACGGTACCATTCGATTAATACACATCTACTAACCAAAATTAATCGAGTCAGATCGATCGTACTCAGTGCGGGAGAAGATTGGGGGTTTGGGTGTCGGCGATCGAGTCATCGAGATGGATCGGTTGCATGCACATACCTTGGAGGACGTAGGCGACCTTCGCGGAGTCGGAGTAGCTGGGGAGGGACATGCCGCCGGCGGCGAGCGAGAGCTTGGCGGCGCCGATGGAGGCGACGCCGAGCATGGGCAACTCGGCCGGGCTCCACTCGTAGTAGGCGCCGCCCTCGCCGCCGTACGCCTTCGCCGGCTGCCTCGGGGTGAGATCCACCGCCATCGCCGCGAAAAGGAGAGGGAACACGAGCTACGATTGATCGAGCGAGGCTCTGGGAGTTCCGCGAGCAGGAGAGGAGGGCGTGATGAGGCGATGTGGGATGGGATCGGGCGCCGCCTATTTATAGCCCAGGAACCGGGAGGATGGAAGGCTGCTCACGATCATGGATAAGGTTAACGGCCGTATTAATAGGAGTGGCTTAGGATTAATATAGGATAGTTGTTTCCCTTTTTTTAAACTAACATAGGATAGCCAAACAAGTCAAAGTGTATTTCTATATCTACTAGTTAATTAGTTGCACGTGCTTTGCACGTCAGTAATTAATGAAGCGTTCCTAAAAAAACCTTAATCATGCACAAAGATGATGAATAACTCAGCAAGGCACGACTCACACAACATTTTCATTTTTCAATGAGCATTGCAGAAAAAAAAAGGTCCATGAATGTCATAGATAAAGCATAACATAGAAGTGACAATACCATAGACAAATTAGTCACTAATTATTCAGGTGAAACTCACAAATAATTAATTCAAAGATTTTGGTATTTATCAGTTGCGTGAGATGTCAAATCAGGCCAATCGATTTCACCTAGCGTCTGATGTCGAGATAGGTGTGCCGGAGATTCCGAGCTAGGAGTGACCCAGAGCCGGGGGCTATGCAACCACATCATTGTCGGTGGCGGGGAGTCAATAGGTTGATGGGTTCGGGTGGAATGGGGGTACGGGGAGCTCGCTAGCGATGAAATCTAGCAAGGTTTAGAGGGAGGCCGAGGGGAAGAGGAGGAGGAGTCGAGCAGGGTAGAGGACGTGGCAGTGCGCTGTTGGGCTGGCGTCGGGCGATGGTTCCAGAAATAAGAACACCATGACCAAAATGAGGAGGATTATGAAATTGTGGCCGCTCAACCTGAATCGGATTGTGGACATAACTTACTATAATAAATTGTTTTTATGCACGTGACATGTTGGTGGCCCCTTAATTCAATATTCAAGGGAGTTGTTATTTTTTTTTTGCTTGTCACTTTATATAGAGATTTTTTCACGTGCCCTTTGCCCAGTTAGCGGAGCACACATTGTAACTAAAACCCGAAATAAACCATTCATTTCTTTATCCTATACTTGTGTTATATTATTTTGATTACCCTTTTAGAAAGATTTCCAATATGTAAAGTTGATCCTTATGTCAGGCCCATATAGCGAACTATGCAAAGGTACACAGGTGCAACATAACAAATTATTAACAATATTTAGTGAATTTTTCTTAAATATCAATATAATCACATGTCACTCATCTTGAATCTAAACACGAAAACGATGATAAATTATTTTGGGACGTTCTCAAATATGTGATTCGCGTCTTATCTAAAACATGTGTTTTCCTTTATGATTGTATCATCAACGTATATCTTTCCAATTATTGATTTTGATAATACAAGAAATGTTCTATTCACATTATGTCCATATGATGTACGCAGTCTGGAAGGTATGAAACATAAATATATTTTGGTGGAAATAATGCATATTTAGCTACGTGCACATATTTCTTTAAATTATATTGACCTTACAGAAATATATAAGCCAAAAAATAAGAAATGGAAAATTATATTGGCAGGTGAACCAGCAGGACGTTTTTCTTCTTTTTTGGGCGAACACATAACACAGGTAACCAGATAGGTGTTTTATTTTTTATTATACATGCAACTCGTGGACACTTTGCATTTTGATGTTAATTTTTTTTCTAGAGGTTTCTACCGAGCTGGCCTTTTCTTCCCTTTGCAGGTTGTGGTGAGAACTGGGCAGGAATCCTCCAACGGAACTATCCGCATGGTTCGGCTCTATCTTTATTTTATTTTCAAGCACGATTCCTTCTGCCACCCACATATTACATACATTGTGCTATATCCTCCCCGTCCGAATTTTCTCTAGGTGTTATTCATACTCACTGTGGTCAACTGATTCAGGCAGATCAGTTCTCATATTTATTTTTTATTTCAGGATTTCTTGAGTTGATAATCTCCAATGGCCTCTGGACAAGTGATTTCTTTACCTGGGCTGCAGATCTTATCCTTTCATCTGTTACCATCCATGTTTTTATGACGTACAATTGCTTAAATTACATGCTGATGTGTGATTCATACCATTGTGTCTTTTGCTGCCGTATATACCATGTTACTTGGAACAATACAGTAAAATGCGCAAAAAGCATAACCATGCTGTTCTAGAGAGGGCAAAGCCACAACATCTTGTTCTTCAATCCATAAACAAGCAAAAGCCCAATAATTCTAAGTATGCATTCTTCACTAAATACAGGTGCAACCAAAGGAAAACCTTTTGGCCTGTATTAGAAACTGAAAGAAGGAAATATTAATGTCTCTGTTTTGGTTGTATGTTGTGATTGATGTTTGCGATTGGCATTTTTCATCAGAACTGAGATATTAGTCAAGCTTTCAAACCAGGGGAACAGAAAAGTTGGAAACCAACAGTGTGTTCACATGATTTCCCTATTAATCATGTCAAGGTAACCCAGTGACCTTAACTATGATGATTTTCTGTTGATTGGAAATCTCTTGTAGGTATCAAGGAAACTGAATAGTTCATTTCTCTACCACCATTTGTTAGCAGTTACCATTCTTCAAAATGGTCTGAAAGGATAAAATAAACAGTTACCAAGTTTTAAAGTTCTACCAATATATGTTCCAGAATTAATTGGACCGGTAGTTTTTAGAAGATTGTTCCTTTCCTATTTGATTGACTACATGAATATTTGTAATGTGCTTAGATTGTCATTCAAATGAAGAGGCTGTTAATTTTTAGTGTTGTTGATTTAAATTTGCATGGGATACATCTTACAATGTAACTTCACAATATATTTGTCTTTGAGGGGATGATTATCAATCTGATGTTTCATGGGTCACATGTTATCTAGACATTCTTCTACTACTGTAGGTTCTATTATTTTTAAACTAAACTATCTATGTACTTGAATGAAAGCATATACACATACTTTTATTGCTGTTTTGATTAGGTTCTACTATATTTGCTCGTCCGTATCTCATATTGATGATATCCATGGGGCCTATAGACTATAAATTCCTTTCAGACATATGCAGTTTAGAGAAGCTCATTTTCTTATATTTTGAAGCTCATCTTCGGGTTCATCATATGTGCCCGATGGTTGAAGTAGTCTCCATTTACAAACTACGGTTGGGTCATTCCTGCTTTGAAAGTAGATACTATATCTCTATAGGTCATACACTTGAAACATTTTAATTTGAAATGGATGCTACCATGTTCCATCTTTGTGCTAGAGATAGCATTCAATGCAGGAATGAAAGCTTAGCTTCCTGGAAAAAAGTTGCACCTGCTAGAAATATCAAGCTGCCTTCCAGCTTTGTATGAGATAGATCCTTCCTACATTTCCAAAGCCTTGGTGCAAGAATTGGTTTGAACATCAGATTATCTCCTCTCTTTTTATGAACCAATCCAAAATGTAAAAGCAAAGCTTTTAACGAACAATCCATTCACATCTTCTAATGTATTTCTAGCGTTCAACAAGATGTAAGAGTGTGGCAATGCATGGCATACCACACTAATTCAATGCAAATCGATTAAATTCCCCCATTCGGTAACTTAGAAATGTATGTGATGCCTTATGTAAATATAACTTTCATGTTATCTATCACCATAGACTTATGAAAATTCCTATCAATCCATCATCACAATAGACGGGCGTAGCACCGCACACCATCATGGTCTAGTCAAAAACAGTATAACCAAGTCTAAAGTGAGCCCTCTCAGGACTTGGCGATTTCTGGCTCTCCATTCTCGTCACCTGGCTTATCTGGGTCGTTAGATGTGCTATAAATTTAGTACTTCACCGCAGTTTTTTTGCCTGCTACTACAGAAGAAAAAACGGGGGCCTGTGGTTCTCTGGGCTTTATTTGCCGGCCCACTTGGCTAACACCTGAGCGCCTGTGGATTCTAAAAAAAAGGAACCCTGAGCGCATATCTCTCGAAATCACTAATTAAGGAGTACTCCTTGCGGAGATCACTCCAACTTCCCCAGGTTGCGACAAGTGGCGCGCTGCCTGTGCGCCACTTGTCGCAACCTGGGAGTTTTCCCTTTTTTCGTAGATCCGTTTATTCAAAATGTTTTATCTCTTAAACCGTGCGTATAAATCTCAAACCGCTTTCGCCATTGGATTCCTCGCGTCGAGATCTTCAAAACTAGATCCCATGTTGATAGGTTTTGATGAACGTTTTTTTCACAAAAAAAACCGGACGAAAAAAACTGACGAAAAAACTTAACCGGGAACACGGGTCTTTTTTCCCTTTCCGAAAGAGGCACGCCCGTGCCTCTCGCGAAAGCACAACCGTGCCTCTGGCGGAAGCAAAACCGTGCCTCTCGCGAAAGAAAAAAAATAGAAAACGTGTTTTTTCCCTTTCCGAAAAAGGCACGCCCGTGCCTCTCGCGGAAGCACAACCGTGCC